GAGCGGGTTAGGGGTGTAAATGAGTCGAGCTGAGCTCCTCAGATCAGCTAATCATGGGTAGGCTCTAACTCAAGTCAAACTCGAGCTCGATTCGATGGCTTGTTAGAGAACATGATTGGAGAAGGTGTGCTGGAGAAGACATCATAGGTTTTTTTTTACGTTGGTGAAGACATATGGTAGCTCATTGAAGGAGTTGTAGCTGCACCTGCAGATGTCAAAGGTGGATTCACAACTGGAGTTTGGTGGAGAAGGCATTGCAAATTTATATATATATATATATATATATATCTCAAGTTATAAGAAACTGCAACTACAACATATATAATGAGAGGAGGATCTTGATTTTGAGTTTTGAGAGTTATAGACCATATCCCATAAACATATCAAATTACCAATTCCTGAAACTGCAATATTCTAAATGCATAAAAAAATTATTTTGGACATAAATTTTGATTTGATTTTTTTATTTTGAGTTTTAATTTGGTTTAAAATGTTGAGTTTGGACCCTGTCAAATCATAATTATCAAGTTATAAATGAACGTAACTTAAAAGTTAGATCAAGACAAAGTGGAATTTTTATATTGGATTTTTGGATTTCTCAGACCCAATCTTAGTAACACATCAAGTAAAAATAAGATTTAATTATCTCATCTTGGATAGTACTATGTCATCATAATCCTCTTCAAAAGCATTATGCTTTTTTTTTGTTCTTCTCATTATCTTACATTGATTATGAATGTGTCATTTTTCATGATATATAAAATAAATAATAACTTTAGTGTTTTTGATACCACCCTTGGAGCGGGTTAGGGGTGTAAAAGAGTCGAGTTGAGCTCCTCGGATCGTCTAATCATGAGTAGGCTCTAACTCGAGTCAAACTCGAGCTCGATTCGATGGCTTGTTAGAGAACATCCTTGGAGAAGGCGTGCTGGAGAATACATCATAGTTTTTTTTTTTTTACGTTGGTGAAGACATATGGTAGCTCTTTGAAGGAGTTGTAGCTGCACCTACAGATGTCAAAGGTGGATTCACAACTGGAGTTTGGCGGAGAAGGCATTGCAAATTTTTATTTTATATATATATATATATATTTTTGCAGAATAGTAGTAAGGCAAAAAAAGGCCGTAGCTTTAATAAAGAAAAATTTACGTGAGAAATGACAACATTGTTATTTTCCAAGGAAGGCATCATCAACATCCTATGAATCAATCCCTTCCATCTCATATCTAATTTCTATAATAAAACCCATGAAATTTTTATTAATAAATTGCCACTCATTATCAACACAATTGGTCCTAAAAACCCCTTGCAACTAAACATGTAAAGGCCTATACATATATAAAACAAATATTTCAGTTTGTGATCTTCATACTTGAAACCAAACAACCCCTTTCATAAATTTCATTCAAATCTGTAACTTCAAAGATCTAAAGCTTCAGCAAATACAAGCCATCTGTACACATATAAGATCACTTACATACATAAAACACTGGACATAAATATTAACAAAGAGAAAAAAAGCTAAAAAACATGCAAAATAAAATAAAGAATAAAAAAAATCCCAAAAAAAGACATCAAAACCCAAGCTTCTAACTAGGGACTGTTTGAGATGACTACGGCTTCTTTATAAAAGTGATTGTAAAGCTGCTATGAGGAAATCAATTTTTCTCGAAAGCTGCTGTAGAATGCATCATTCAAGCAAAAAAATTATTGAAAACGGTGCAAAATAGAGGCTAATAAAAACTAAGGTTACCACCTAAAAAACAAAACAAGACGAAAGCTGTCATGAACAAAGCCTAAGGTTTCGTTTGAAACAGTTTTCTTAATGCTTTGTTTTTTAGTTCACAACCATAACTTTTGTTGGTCACACTTTTTTCGTTGCTTTTAGAAATTTTTTGTTCTTGAAAGTTTGTTTTTTACAGCAACTTTCAAAAAAGTCATTTTCTCCACAGCAGTTTTATAACTGCCTTTAGAAAAGCTATAGTCACCCCAAACGCACCCGAAATAATGTTTAGATCATAAATCAGGCTTTGGAAAAGCAGAAATAAGCAATTATGTGGTAGAAAAGTAGGAGGCATGCGGCAATTATAAGCTGCTTAGAAATAGAGATTATATTCTCCTCCTCTTTTCCAGCCCCGGATTTGCTCGCAGAGGCCGAGGCTTGTGGTACAGCAGCGAATGAGTGAAGGAAGGTGATGGAGATGGGTTCCTGTTGAGCTTCTCTGTATTGGTATTCTGGCTTGCCAATCACTTGCCTGTATATGCCACCGCTCTTCTCCTGCTTTTTCATGAATAAATAATAATCAATATTGGCATTTGCATGCCAGAAAAATAGTTTTAGGGCCGTTTGGTATCATTTATATTGATTATTTATTGTTTTATTTTATTTGTTTAATTTTAATTTAACTTAAAATAAAACATATTTATATATTTAAAAAATATTTTCTTAAATATTGAATAAAATAACTTATATAAGGATGACGGTGGTTGCCCAGAGGCAACCAGAGTCAAAGGTGGTTGATGGCAGCAAATGGAGAAATTATTCTGTGTGGTCATCGGATCGTTCATAGGCGAATCAGAATGTGCCACGTCATCTGGTGATTGCACAGAAAAATAATCCGACAACTGGAGGGGGTGCTTAGCTTTAATGGTCGGTGGCTTGGGCGGCATGCGTCAATTATTTTTTTAAAAACTCGAAACAACTTTTATGTATTTTGAATGTTTTAAAAATAATATGACTTGTTTTTAAATATAAGAAACAAATATGCATAAAATATTACATTAAACAAATATGTTTTTAAAAACAAGAAGATCAAAGAAAGACAAACAAATAAAAATGATTCCACACAGCTTTTTAATAATTGAAGAAAATTTGGGTTAGTATATAGAATCTAAGTATAATTATAATGACTTCAAATTTATTTGATTTACTGTAAAATAATTTAAATATATAAAAACAGTTAAAATTTATATCACATTTATCTAAAAAATATTTAATCATTTTGAACTCATCATGATTAACATTTAATTTCGATCAAAATATTCTGAGCTATTTTTTTTTCCAGTAATAGTAATTTAAAGTAGGAGGAGAAAGCATTATTATAATCCAAAAAAGTATATTATAATAATTATTATATAAATATAATATATTTTTATAAAATATTTTTAATAATTATTATTTTTATAATATTTGAGCTATTAAATCAAACACAAACAACGCATAAACTTCAGACCCAAAACTTCTTAATTAGTAACCAAAGTCTCCAACAAAGGAGCGATTATTATGTGCGGAGTCCGAACATTGCTTTTTGTTCGGACTCCAATCAGGAAGAAAAAAATCACACGGCTCCACCTGATTGAAGTCATGGTGAAATCCGAACTCCGCACATAATAAATTTTCCAACGAAAAGACCAATGTGAGCTTTTTTTTTTCTTTTTTCTTTATTTTTAATCATTCATTCATAAGAAACAAATGCCAGTACTCACATAATAATAATAATAATTAGCAGTTTATTTAAAAAAAAATGCAACACATGACCAAAAAATGTACAAACTAATCTTATTGATTTTTATAAATATATATTTGCCCTTCATTAACATTGTTTTAATTAGATATTTATTACACTAAATGGTTTGAATGCCGGTCACCTTTTGGAATTTCAGAATTTTTTAGTGCTAAATGCATAAAATGGCGGAACCAGATTCTCTTTTGAGGGTGAGCAAAATATGATTGTGAAACACATAATCTGATGTATGAAACAGAAAAAAAAAATCTTGAAAAGTTTACAACTACAGTTAGCAAAATAGTTTAAATAATTATTCTTCTAATAAAAAAGAAAATTTCAGGGTGAGCAATTACCGACATTCAACTCTTCCATGTTTCACCCCTGAATACATAGGCTTCTTTTGGGACGACTTTCATACTGTTTCTTAAAATAAATTTTTTAATACAAATGTTTAATTTTTGTACTAAAAAGTTGCTTTAAGAAGCAACAAGAAAACCGTCCCAAACAAAGTCATAGTTTGAAACTTTGGCTTAACTTGAGTCAGTTTTTTATTGTTTTTTTACAATAAGTTTTTACTATAAAAAATATCTTCAAAGCAGTGAGAAAATAATAGATAAAATCGTCCAAACAAAGTCTTTATGCTGCATTTATGTTTTAGAATTTTCTCATTTATTAAATTAATTATTTTTCAAAATCATATAAAAATCTGTTAAAATGTTCTAACGATGTTAAAAGGGGTATTTATATATATAACATTAAGGTTTCATTTGAGACGACTTTCTTGTTGCTTCTAAAAGCCACTTTCTAATAAAAAAATTAAATTTTTTATAAGAAAACAACTTTGATAAGTAGCAAGAAAGCTGTCACAAACGAAGCCTAAATCTTGCTATTTAGAAACTTTCACTCAAGCTATTTTTTTTTATCTATAGAATTTAAGTTTTTGAAGTACTACTATTAGATAGTTAGAAATATTAAAAAAAAATGGAATATAATTTTATTGTGAATTTTAATATTTGAATGTTAATTAAAAAAATTGAAGGCTGGAGAGAGTGATAAATTTTTAAATAGACAAAATTTGAATCTTATACATTTTATTATGATTTTTAAGAAATATAACAATTTAGTAATTGAATAAATAAATAGAATTAAATAATGAGATTTATTACATCTAATTAATAAAGACAAAACAAAAGTAGGGAAAAAAAATAAAATTTATGAGAAAATGGTAAACTATTTTTTATAGTATTTTATAAAATTAATAATAAAATATATGTAATTAGTAAATATGAATAATATCTCTCAATAAAAAACGCAAGTAAACAGAGTGCCAAACATGATCTTGTTTATTTAATATTATTAATTCTATATCTTAAAAATATGGAAAAAAAGATAAAATCATTAATTTTCCATGAAAATTTGGCACAATTATCCAATTCTCTCATGAGCTAAAAATTAAAACAATTTCAGGAATTTTTTCTATATAATAAAAAATATTTACCTGAAAGCATCGTACTCTGGCGCTAAAACTCCCGCCATCTCTTCTGCATCACCACTCCACCAGAAAAACTCATCGCTCTCCGCAACATCGTCTTCCTCCTCCACTTCAAATCCCCACTTTCTTTCCGGTGATCTAGCTGCCTCCTTCTTCCGCTCCAACGGTACCTTAAAAACCACCTCCGCCGTTTCAACCGCAGCCTGAATCACCCTCTGCTTAATCCCATGATTAATAATCTGGAAGCATCCCATCGATCTGGCCGCTGAGCGTAGATTATCTTTCTCCGATAGTTCCCTTTCCGGCGAGATCAAGGATCCCAAATCAATCTCCGGAGGATTCCGATGCGGCAAAATCAGTTCTGGAATGCGGCGGGAACGTTTGAGGAATCTGGAGAAATCGTCGTCTTCGTGGGTTTCCGGGGAGGTGTTGCGAGTTATGGCGGCCGGCGATGGCGGTGGAGCGCGGAAGAGGGTTAGATCTCGAGAGGTTCTCGGCGAGGCAGCCATGGAAGGAGCATGGGATGCTTCGCTGGGGAAGAGATAATGAGGTGGGGAAAAGAGAAAAAGGTGGAAAATGAGTGGAGACGGGGCGCAGCAATGATGAGGGCATGGCTTGAAGAAAACAATTTCAGTTCCAGCTTGATGCCGCGGTATTCCTAGCAGACTTTTTCTTTTCCTCTTTTTATTTTTTCAACTAAAGTGTGAGAAACTTGCATCTACTGTTTAATATCATGTTTACATTCACATCAAACTGGGGTAACTTCATCAAATCAATTTGGGTAGTTGGGCTGAGTCGACGTGGATTTGAGTCCCTTCTCTTGGGCCAGCCTAGATATGTCAATCGAATAGACTCATTGCATTAAGGCATCCTAGGATACCTCTCAATTATATTAAGTCGTATACTAATTCCAGCCTGATTCAATGTTCTTCATCCTTCTATTTGTAATGATAGAAATGAGTCCATTGAATGAGAGGATTGCTCGAGACTTGTACTTGATTACCGAGAGATTAACACAAACCTAAATTTCTCCACTCGATCCAATTTCTTGAACCTAATTCTCCGATCCTTGGTTGTATAATACCTGTAGGCCTGAGTGCAGTTCAACTAATTTCTACTGAACAGTTGTGATTTCAACATCTTTGGTTAGGTGGACATGGAAGTGCCTCGCACAAAGTGAAAGGATGCTGGCGATAGCAACCACAGTCAACATATCCTTAGATCGCAAAGCATGATAACTACGTCACCTTACATTTGTTTCACCATGACAAAGAGGCTAAATTTTAAGAAAAAGTTCTACATAAATTGTATTTAGTAGAAAAAAAAAGTTTCCCACTTGATCATTTAATGTATGATTGGTTGTGCCTCATGCTAATGTGGCAAGCTTGGTCTATGTTGCGGGCTTAAATATTCATGACAGTAAAGCAGGAAAAACAATGTCGCTTAGCATTGCACGAGTGTCCAACTCACACACAGAAAGAGTAGAAACACAAGAATTTTTTTTGCGTGGAAACCCTAAGGGGAAAAATCACAGGGCCACGTCCAGTCGAAATTAATCCACTAGTATTTGAATAAATTACAAATAACTGACTCGTCCTCAAACTTGAGGGAGATTAGATCACAATAATCAACCAACATGTTGAAATTTAGAGACGAATAAAAATCAAATGAAAATCCGGCGACAATTGGTGGTTGGATGTAAATATGATGTCAGTTGGTGGTCGAGTTGAAGTTTGACGACAATCGACGATCAAGTTGAAGTCTGACGACGATCAGCGACCAGTCGGTGGTCTGACAACAATTAGCGCAGGTTCACTGATGACGATTGGTGGCCGGGCAGTGGTCGAGAAGTCTGATGGAAAAGAGAGCTTTTCCTTCTCTTCCTTGCTTGGGCCCTCCTCAATAAAGAATGAAGTGCATATTTATAGTTTTTTAGGAGCGACATAGTTAGTAAATATGTGGGAGATTAAGGGTACGTCAGGAGTGATTTGAATGTACGACCGATATTGATCCCCTTAATCATGGACCGTTTACTAGGCATTTGAATATCTTAATTATATCATAATTTGACGATCCCGGGCTCTTTCGATTCATCTGGTCGAGCTGCCCGTTTATGCTACAAGCATATCACGTTTGTAAATTGTTTGATCATCCAATTTATGATTTGAACTTTTCAAAGTCACTTTAGGTCTTCAATTTGGACTCATTTGGGCTCGGATTGAGTTGAATTTGGTGTCGTTGGGTTTATCTTTTTGAGACATTTAATTCGACTATAAGTTTGCTGAGATCGGAGTTCATTTGGTTATGAATTTAATTTTGGAAGTTTCCAACTTGATTTTGCCTCGAGATTTGCGCTCGATCAAGATAATTTGTGATGATGTATCAGTCTCCATTCAAAATGGAGATTTGTTGTGATGATAAGACAATGTGAGGGGTAGAACTAGCTTTGCATTTTAGGGTCTACAAATTTATTATATGAATAGTTAAATATAAAAATATGAAACATATAATACAAAATTCAAAACAAATTCTTTAATTGATGAAATAAAAAAATTACAAGCTTTACATTCTATTTTATATTTTATGATAACATTGTATTACGACTTGATTTATAATTAAGTTAAATAATTCTTTGGTGGTTGTTAAGTTTGCTATCACTCATTTTATTGCATAATATATTTTTTATTGCAAAAAATGCTATCTCCAGTATAACAATACAACAACAACAAGCCTTTATCCCACTATGCGGGGTTGGCTACACGAATCCTTTTTCTCCATTGTGTGCTATTAAGAGTCAAATTCTCATTTAAATCTAATAAAGAAAGGTAATTTTTAATATTTTATAACCCAGTCATTTTAGGTCTACCTCTACCATTATAACAGGAGTAACTGATAAAATTAATGTCAAAATAATAAGTCTGTATTCTAGGGGATACATAACTCTTTTTTGAACATAACAATTTATTTTACAAGATCAGCAATATTGTCCAAAGATGATAATTATTTGCTAATGCGCATATCAATAATATGTGTAAATAGTTTATGATCAATAGCCAAAAGCCAATCGTAGAAAAATCCAATGAATATAACTCTCCGAGCCAAGTTAATTTCCTCTTATGATAAGCATAAGACAAATTACTTGGATTCAAAAATGTAAAAAAAAAGCAAGTAGGCTAGGTGTCCCGACGAGGTCCGCGTTAGGTGTCGCCACGCCAGTTTGCGTCCGTGTCGGGTGTCGCCGCTGTTGGTCCAGTCTAGGCAGCCGCGGGGCTCACACTTTTGCTGTCGCTGCAGCTGTCTTGCCCGAGCTATCGCTGCTGCCATCCATCTCGCACGTCGAACTTTCTGCCGTCATTCTCGCACTCCGCACTCGTTGTAGCTGTCGATGCCTATGCTCCGCCAGCCTCTAGGTTTAGACTCGGAGGAGCCGCTCCGCTCCACAGCTGTTCGCGGGTCGGGTCGGGTCAACCAGGTAACCCACATAGTGTCGGGTCCGGGTTGACAAATTTTACTCATTTGCAAAATCGGGTTGGGTTAGGGTTACCCCGTTTATGGCCGGGTTAAGTCAGGTTCTACCCAAACCCAACCTGTTGACCCAAATTGACGAGTAATTATTAGGTGCGGACACTGCACCCAGAGATGCGTCTGCATACTGCGTATTTTATACTTAAGTTCTGCCTACGTTATGCGTATTTATTGAGTATACACGTATTGCAGTAAATAAGCTGCAAATATTTAATTGTGAGGATTTGCTGCTTATTTGCTGTGTATCTACAAATACGTAGAATGTAAGAAGAACATACGCAAAGTGTAAGCAGAGCGTACGCTAAACGTACGCAGTACATCCAATAATCTGGACACATCTCTAGGTGCGGTATACACACCTAATAATACCCCAAATTGGCCCCCCTAATAATATAATTGATGAATATGAACTGAGCCTCATGAAATCCTTCAAAAAGTTCATTTAGGAGAATGCAGAAGTCATTCAGGTAGAAGAACCTTATTTTTATGACTTCTTTAAGATGGTTTATTCTTACTAACTTCTTAGAAGGTTTATTATTACTAACTTTTTAGAAATTACTCCAATGAATTATTAAAGAAATAGGATCAATGTTTGAAATTCATTTCTGTAGTTACAAACAGCTCAATAGTTTAATTTAATTTCTTGTCCATGTTTATTTGCCATCTAAATCCATTCCTATCGTCCAAAAGATTAAGCAAATTTATTTTGACCATGATCGACTATTTGATGAAGTTTAAAAGCAGAGGCACCAACTAAAGCCACTTTAGTTATTATTTGAGATTTCATTTGGCTTGATATTATACACTGATACTATAAATATAATGTAGATTTGTATCTGCATGTTGTATTATTTCATCGCCTTTTTGAACTGCCTAAAAGGCATATTGTGCTAAAATTCCTCCAACTCCTTGGAGGTACAACATTCTAATTTTATTGATTTTCACCAAAATAGGGAATCTTTGCAAGTAGGCTAGGCCTGATAGATTTTCTTCTTTGGGAAATTTTCAGTAAAAATAGTATCTTGTTCTTTGCTTTATTTATCTTATTGTGTTGTAGATAAAAAAAGTAGCTCGATTTCTCATATGCAGTAAGTTTAAGCAAACGAAAACAGTTTAAAGAATTTATATTCGGAAAACACGATTTGCAACAAAAGCGAAATCAAACCCTAAATTTAAACTATGGTGATATTTGTAATACGCTACTTTAATCTGTGCTTACCATTTGTGTTTGCACTTCTTTTTTTTGTCTTAAAATAATGCACAACCACCGAAACAACCCGCCAAATCCGATATTTCTGAAAGTAGCTGAAAATTTTTCTTAGAATTAAAAGTCGAGTAAATTAATTTTTTGAATATAATGAAGCCATTAACTCTTTATGATAAAGGACTGCTACGTTGCTTTTTTTTTGGATTATTGGCTAAAGTCTTAGGCACATTATTAGATATAATTTCTAAGTTTTCAGGGGATGTATCAATCCTATTCAGGGCTGGAAAAGTAGTGCACCTTAAAAAATATATTTAGGGGGCATAAATTAATCAGATACTTTCTTAAAGCGTAGCAGCTATATATTTACATATTGCTGACTTGAGTAACACTACTTAGCCAACAACTAATTTGCCAATAACCTCATTCGAGGAGTCTCGCTATCAATACCTGAGCTCAATAAGATATCATCCAAGTGTATCCATTTCATGAATTTAATTGGCCACACACTCGAGCTATAGAATATGTTTTTAAATATGTATTACTTTGAAGTTATCTTTCCTATAACATCCAAAATCCTATAAATAAAGGGTTAGCGGGCGATTTTGAGTGGCGAGAGCCGAGCAGAGTGAAAAAGAGAGACAATTTTGAATAGCCAAATTTATTCTTATCAAAACCTAAAGTTTTTCTTTCCAGATTTTTTATTTTACCGTAGAATATTTTTATTTATATTCTCTCTGATTTTATTTGCTAAAATATTACAAATCATGTGAGTATGATTCCGACAAATATGAACATTAATTGAATTTTAATGTAGTATGAAGTGGAGAGTCAATTAAAAAGTTTTGCTAAAGAGGTCAATTTTAAATTTAATTAATATAGCTCAAAATTAAAACAATATAAATTTAATTGATTAGTTAT